CCCACAGAATGTGACAATCCCTAAACATTAACACACCGATCATTGTAATGGGAGGGGGGGTTGTGGGTAGGAACCGACTTAGGAAACGTATTTAGGCGAGTTTAGCTCCTTTAAGGTTTATAACACATTTCAGAATAAACATGTTGAAATGCGGTTCATTACATTGTATTCTATGCATTTTTTACTCCTTCTCTCACTCTTTCTCCGATGGTTTCCCTCTTTCTTTTCCATTCCTTCCTTTTGTTTGCGTCTGGGACACGCGTGACATGGACGATTTATACCAAGCGTCTCTTACTTCATTTAAATCCCATTCTTATGCAGATATTAATTCTGTCCAAAGTTGTTTCTTACGACAATGTCATTATTCATACCGGCGAGAAAATCTACTTTATTCTCTCCCCTCTTACAACATTCACAAAGTTCTGTTACTGTTACCCGATATCAAGGACTGTTTCTGTTAATGATGGACGTAGTACGCATGCACTTGCAACATGCGGATTTTATCCGCTTCGAGGACTATTAAACAATCGATGTCACGGTCTGGTTGTATAAGTGATGTCGTACGTAATAGCACGCACAACTTAAGCATTTTATGAGCTTCTAGGACAGTGTATCTGTAGATAAGGTATCAGATGACGATTATGTGCGGTTAAATGGAAAAACAAATATAGCAGAACTAATCCATTTGAAGATTGGCCTACTGTCCCAGAATTCGGCTGGAGAGACTATGGAAAATCATGAAAAGTGTGTCACAGTAATCAAAGTCCCAGCCGAGATTGAAACCTGCATTACTGGCGACTATATATCAAGTGTCTTCGATTGAGGATATTACAGTGGTCCAAATATTCTGTTCATAATTCAGATCTACGTTTTCGAACCTGGAAGTTTCCTCCCGAATACACACCTAAAGCATAGTAAATTCACCGTCCCGCTTCGTGGATATGTTGAAGAAACGACAGTGGACGGTTGGCAGTTGCTGTCCTAGTCTGGGACTAGGGATGATTGCTGACTGAAAGTACGGACCGTTCGAATGGGGTGCCTTGGACGGCGTTCGGCTTGGCGGAACGAACCGATGGATGCAAATGAGTGGTGGGCGGGAGAGAAGGGTTGAAATAAAGTACTATCGTCTGAAATGATTAATCCTAAAATGTAGTTTAATATTCATGACGTTGTAAAGACGGCTTATCTAATTCTTCCTCTTACCCCTTTTCATTGTGGATTTATCGAACTTCGTTATAAGATAACCCATAGCAAAGTACCGTCTGATTGTAGACCAGTTGGACCGTGTACAATTGGATCTGACTTTTTAACTATATTTTTAAAGTGCATGGGTTATACACCTGTAGTTAGGATGACTATGGACAGTGAATATAAAATTATGTTTAAGGAAGTGGTCACGGCCCATACTAATCATTCAAGGTAGGTACGAGTACAGTCACTTCTTACCGACTTGTGTTATGTGCACAGCGTTCCCCCTACACCCATAAAATGGAATTAACTAACGCGTGATGTACAAAGTGTCAGTAATGATTCTGACACGTGATAACGGACTTCATCTCACTTTATTGCAATTAGCGCTCGGCAGCTGCCAGATCCCCTTGTTACATTCTGCATTTTGAAACCAACAAGAAGTTATGGGAAGAACGTGCGACGCGTTCTTTCCCTCACATACTTCTCTCTACACAATGACGCTACCAAGAACTAGAAATTAAAAATTACAGAATCTAATGACGCATTTCTGAACTTAATTTCCATGGATTTTGATCGCTTTAAATTTTTTAAATATAACCTAAAATCTTGTCGTCATGTACGTAATTAAAAACGTATACAAATGTTGGTGAAATTTTAGGTTCCTACGGCGACATTGAGACATACTGCGCCGTGCAAGGCCTGATGATGGAATCAGTAAGCTCCTCTGAAACGTCAGTCAGTTTCTATCAGACTACACGGCGCAACATTGTAGAAGACAGCCATCTATAATTCACATATGGTTTTGAGATATATTTGTGATCATTAAAGCATTTTACTGTTGAAAATTACAATTACAATTACGATCATGAGACAAATTTTTATGACTTTGTGTCCTAACAGTTTCAGACTTTGGAACTTATAGTTTCGGATATTTTGAAAAAAGATAAATCATTACTGCAAACTGGTCTTCCAATAGTGTGTTCCAGATCGGTTCTGTACTATATATGAAGTTAAAATCGAACATTATTATTTTTTAAAGAATGGCTCACCGTCCAAGAATGTTATCCGTGACAGGTGAGTAATATCTAAAACTTTTATTTAAAACGTGTTTGGATGTGGTAGAGCCTTCTTATCTTTAACGAAGGATAAGGAAAACATTATCTGACTCTATCTACAGTGTGATTAACTTTGCTATACATTTATATATACAACAAATGAACGTTAAGGGCAATTATGAATGCAACATTATACGTAACTCATTTTGTGAAATGTTTAATGCATTCGGATGCACTTTTTCACTGTTGTGAAACATGTTTATGGGCCCCGTGTGCCAAGAACCACGGACTGTTTTAAGTACAGATGCATGCGGACATCTGCCTCAGAACACCCAGAGGGCAGTTGGCCCCTGCTGTTAATTCATTAGAGTTTGATATGATACCGCAAAACACAGACAGCTGACAGGGTTCATTATACGTGAGAACATATTTTGTCACGAACCGCACCGATTTCTCTTCCAACTCCATTACCTCGAGCTGAATCGTAAAACTGAATAATTTTGTAAGCCTACTCTTTGCGTAATATTGTTGAGTGATTAAATTAAGAAGGATTAGATGCGAGGGAAATGTAACATATTGGGGGTGGGGTGAGAAATAAATGCAGGATACTGTTCGGAAAACAGTGGAAGTAGTTTGGGTGGTCTAAGAGTTGATGGGAGGATATTATTAAATACGTTCATGGAGGAATACGATGTGGAATAGAATAGAGACAAATGGCAAGATTCTGTAAAACCGTGGGCCTTTCTGGGACAGGGAATCTGTTTTTATAAGAAGAAAAATAACGCCATGTACATAAAATTATTGAGATACTGGAAGTTATTTGACTTGCCAAAACATTCAGTGTTTTTATCGGACCCAAAGATGAATCGCCATTTTCTCAGAAACTCTTCATTTTACCCTGTCCCGAACCTTCAGTCCAATCCACACATCCTCCCTCTGTAATATTTATTTTAATATTGTACTTACGCAGCATTCCCTATGTTTCGCTGCTAAGGTTCTATAAGTATCTCTCTTCTCTTCGAAGCATGTTAAATTCCTTTTAAATCGCATTATTATTGACGCAGTTGCAGTAGCAGTCTTAGGTGAAAAGTGCAGGTCGTGTTATTCATGTATATAGAAACGACTGGCTGTCTGAACAAGTAGTACGATTCACCACAAAATAACAGCGAATGTTTGGGATTATTGAAGACGCTTTAGGCATGTATTAAGAAGATGACCGGAGGGTGGGGCGCAGCGCTGCGATTGCAGGGCGTGCCCTTGCTCTGATGATAGAGCAGCAGTCCCTCAAGGCGTGTTCGATGCTGATATTCATAAGCAAGCCCTATACGACATACGTCGTCTGCCGCTTTTCTGGCCAATTTAGAACAATCTCTGAAATTGGGAAAATGATTAATCGAAATAAATTTACGTAATTGGTATTAAAATTCTCGGGAGTCGTCAGATAAAAGAGTAGACGTGTGCTCTGGCGTCTTCTTGTAGTCATGCGAGAACAGGAATAGTAAGCTGTAGGTCTACTGCAATATCTGGAGTAGTCAAGACATAGTTTACAAACGCATTTTTCGCGATTTTCCTTACTTCGTAGTCGATGATTTTAATTTTGTGCAGACTGAGACTGATTTTCTTAATATTAGTAGTAGCAGACTTTAGAGTCTGTAATTAGAAAAGGGGTGAGGGTTAATGTTATTACAGACAGAATTTCAGACAACACAAATAAATGATGGAAAGATGTTTGAATAATAAAAAACTGAATTAATGTTTACGAGGAGTATTTGAAAGCAAATACAAAATTGGTTGAGCACATGCGATTTTAATGACAGTGAAACAGGCCATTGAACCTAATTCTTAGTGTTGGTCAACAGAAATTTGCCTCCCGAAATGTAATCATAAACAATAAAAGTTATCTCATAACCGCAAGTATTTCAGATGATAAATTGTTTTACTTCCCTTATTTAAGATAATTTTCTAAATGTTAGTTTTGATTGTCGTAAATTTAAGGGAGCAATTATTTTATTATATGATTATCTTGATCCCTTATGTAAATAAAAGGAGAGCCAGAGTGTCATTTCCATCTTATTTTATTTTGTACCCGAAAATAATCTTATAGTATTGTCGTGTCCGCGTGCTTGTGTTTTTGTCCCCCTTAATAACAGCTGGACACACTTATCAAATTGGTCTGAAAATTTTGATATTAAAGGTCAATATACCTTTATAATTCCCTTCCATCACTGAAGTGGGTAGAGGCTTTGCGAAAACCTGAGGTGGAAGCTACACTAGTGTCATTTAATGCAAGACTCTAACATTTTGCATTGTGGTAGATCTTTGAAGAATATTCATAGTTTTCTTTCTCCTTTTTCAAATTTGTATAATAACAGCGTGGCTTCCCGCAAAGTTCGTACTAACATTGTAGTTGTACAACTGTGATTAATGAAACGTTGACTCTACATGTAAATTTTGGTATAGAAGTAAACAATAATAAATGCAACCACACTTTCTGAATTAACTTTTTTGGAGGGGGGACTTTGCCTTTATGTCTGACTCTATAGACAACTGGAATTTATACTGGTAGAAACTGTGTGCAAAATATGTAACTAATTAGTACGATTTAATAGTTTATAACTTCTTTACAGATAGCATTTGAAGGAAAGTAGTCATTATAAGGCCTTGTTATATATCGTTAACAATATTCAATCTCGTTCTTGTTTATCCCATCTGATCTCATCAGATTCTCACACTGAATACATTTATTCCTTTTAGGACAAAGTCACTTCTGCACCAGCCCAGCACGCAGTTTGAGTAGGATGATGGATTCAGCTATCTTGGAATGTAAGTAAATTTAAATCAACAACCATTTATATTAATTATATGAGTGCTTCAGGGTGTCACTTTTACAACTACACTGCTTTAGGCACGACAGAATTTTTGCCTTTTTCTCTGTTTCACTTCAGATGAACAAAATGCATTTTTGAAAAGAAGCTCCTCACATGCGGAAACACAAAAAAGATTATCGCCGGGTTGTGCGGCAACTTCTCCGACACGTTTGTATTGCTGATGGCCGAAACAGGACGATGCAGGCGTACGGCGTACCGTACGTCATCAAGGCAATTAATTATTTTGGTTCCATACGTACAAACTTATGCAAGAAATTCAAGTGTAACAGGATTTAAATCAAGAAACGGGAGGTTATTCTAATTCACTGTATTAACTGAAGGGATTTATATTAAGCATCGGTTGGGATGAGAGATTAATATGCATGGTGATAGGGGCCTAATGCTTTGAAAGTGGTTAATGTTTTCGTAAAGTCACTTTTTGCGGAAATGGAAAATAAAACTTGGTGACAGCGCAAACCTTTTCTGTTTTCAGGATATTTGTAACTTTAAATAAGTTATCCCTGTGTTGCATTAAGCACCACACCACGAAGCCATTAAATCACAACCACTACCAACTTTACACTGGTTAAAGCTCCGTGTGTATCAAGCCATACAGAATCGTCTTCAGGGACACTTGTTTATATGCTGTTTAGCGTAAATCACTCCGGGTTATTCTGATTATTACAACCAAACATTCAAAATTAGTTTAAAAAGTATATACAATAATAGACCAATTTGGTAAAGGATGATAGTGGCAATTTGCTTGCAGATCCAATAAAAATTGTGAATAGGTGGAAAAATTTCTTTAGCGAGCTCTTAAATGTTCATGATACTGGTGATATTAGACAGATTAAAAGGCATACAGCTGAACTGTTGGTGCCAGAACCTAGCTTAGATGAAGTGGAACTAGCCATTGGGAAGTTGAAAAGTTATAAATCTCCAGGAATTGATCAGATTCCGGCCGAATTAATTAAAGCAGGTGGCAAAGGGTTGAATATGAGGATCCATAAGCTTATTCAGTGAATTTGGGATAAGGAAGAGATGCCACATCAATGGAAGGAATCCATAATTATTCCTATTTATAAGAAGGGGGACAAGACTGAGTGTGGTAATTACCGAGCAATATCGCTGCTATCAACCTCATACAAAATTCTATCCAACATTCTTTTGGCAAGATTAACCCCATATGCGAATGAAACTATTGGGGATCATCAGTGTGGGTTCAGACGAAACAGATCAACGATTGATCAGATCTTTTGCATTCGTCAGATACTAGAGAAAAAATGGGAGTTCGGTGGGACCGTACATCAGTTATTTATAGATTTCAAAAAAGCCTATGACTCTGTGAAGAGAGAAGTGCTATATAATATTCTTATTGAATTTGGTATACCAAAGAAGCTAGTGGGTCTAATAAAAATGTGCTTAAATGAAACCTGCAGCAAAATTCGAGTAGGTAAATATGTATCTGAGACATTCCTCATCAAGAACGGTCTAAAACAAGGAGATGCTTTGTCTCCCTTGCTCTTTAACTTTGCGCTAGAATACGCCATCAGGAAGGTCCAAGGTAGGCAGGAGGGTTTGCAATTGAACGGGACACATCAGCTATTGGCATATGCTGATGATGTTAATTTATTGGGGGACGATATAAATACAATAAAGAGGAACGCAGAAGTTTTACTAGAGGCTGGTAGACAAGTGGGGCTGGAAGTAAATTCAGAAAAAACTAAGTACATGTTAGTATCTCGTCATCAGAAGACAGGCGGGCAAAATTATCTTAGGGTAGCTAATAAATCCTTTGAAAGGGTTACAAAGTTCAAATATTTGGGAACAACAATAACAAATCAAAATGATACTTGTGAGGAAGTTAGGAGGAGACTAAATTCCGGAAATGCTTGCTACTTCTCAGTCCAAAATATTTTGTCTTCCCGTCTGATTTCTAAGAACCTGAAAATTAAAGTATACAAAACAATAATCTTGCCTGTTGTTTTGTATGGGTGCGAAACATGGTCTCTCACTCAGAGGGAGGAACACAGATTGCAGGTGTTTGAGAATCGGGTGTTGAGGAGGATATTTGGGCCTAAGAGGGAAGACGATGGGGCGTGGAGAAAACTGCACAATGACGAGCTTAAAAATCTGTACTGCTCCCCCAGTATTGTGAGGGTGATTAAGTCGAGAAGAGTGAGATGGGCGGGACATGTAGCGCGCATGGATGGGACAAGAGGTGTGCACCGGGTACTGGTTGGGAAACCTGAAGGGAAGAGACCGCTGGGGAGACCTAGACGAAGATGGGAGGATAATCTCAGGCGGGATCTATGGGAGATAGGAGTTGAAGGAAACTGGATTTTGTTGGCCCAGGACAGGGTCCGGTGGAGGGCTTTGGTTAATTCGGTGATGAACCTTCGGGTTCGGTAAGCCATCTAGTTAGTTAGTTAAGACGAACTAAGTAAAATATTAATTAAGCTTTACGTGGTTTTGTAAAACTGTATGTCTTGTTTCTTACTCTGCATAAATAAACCGAACATTAAATATATATAAAACAGGGAAGTAAACAAAGTTCCATAAGAATCGTTGTTCTCATACGTCTTCGTCATTACAACGCAGAAAAATATTAAATGATTAATTATATACAAAAATTAATATAATCTACTTTCTCGCCCGCAAGAAAACATCACGTCTCAACTAACACCACGTCATTTGGAGTTTGAAGTAAAAGTATTTAAAGGGGACATTCAAAGACTTGATGGGCGATGTCCGAGAACAAAAGTTATAATTTATATGACATACACGATACAAAGCAATCTAAATCATTTCCACGACTTTATTTATGCTATATAAATTGATCTCGATCTTGTTTTCATAGTAAATAATTATACAAAAATTTATTAATCTTCCCTTAGCAATGCAATGAACAACTTAACTGAGACCTTTCTCCTGGACCCTAGAAATTATTCACTTTCTCTGATACTTTCTCTCGGTTGCTTCAGAATGGGCACATATCTGCAAAACACTGTAATACAACATACATTATAACTTTAAAGGAGTTCGACTAATTACAAGATACACCACGTAATTAATTATTACAGCAACGGAAATGTATACAAACGTGTGCCATGTGTTTATTACGCGATGTTAGGTGAGGTTTCGGAATCTCACGGCGGCGAATATGAAGAAGGCTGTCTTGTGGGATGCCGACGTTTCAGAAGAGCTTACTGCCACAAAACAATAATTTTGCCTGTTGTTTTGTATGGGTGCGAAACATGGTCTCTCCCTCAGAGGGAGGAACACAGATTGCAGGTGTTTGAGAATCGGGTGTTGAGGAGGATATTTGGGCCTAAGAGGGAAGACGATGGGGCGTGGAGAAAACTGCACAATGACGGGCTTAAAAATCTGTACTGCTCCCCCAGTCTTGTGAGGGTGATTAAGTCGAGAAGAGTGAGATGGTCTGGGCATGTAGCGCGCATGGATGGGACAAGAGGTGTGCACTGGGTACTGGTTGGGAAACCTGAAGGGAAGAGACCGCTGGTGAGACCTAGACGTAGATGGGAGGATAATCTCAGGCGGGATCTATGGGAGATAGGAGTTGAAGGAAACTGGATTTTGTTGGCCCAGGACAGGGTCCGGTGGAGGACTTTGGTTAATTCGGTGATGAACCTTCGGGTTCGGTAAGCCATCTAGTTAGTTAGTTAGTTATACAATAATAGAACGAGACATTATCAACAAGAAGTACTGATGATATTTTTATAAAACTAGGGTAAAATTCTTATATGCATTCTTGTGTCCTTTAGGAACATTGTATAGTTACTGACACTACTTGTAGGTCGTCAGAAAGTCCCCGAACTATCCCTATAGTATATCATTTACCATTGGTTAGAATAGAGGCCATTTGGAATGTAAGTATAGATTGGCAGGTCCGTCTGTGTATTGAAAGCTTACGCGAACTGAGTTAGGATCGTTTTCCTCTGAGGCGCCGAAGTAGTGACGTTGTCTGGATAGAAACAAGCATCGCCGGCTTGTTATACTGACCGCAATGTGCTATAATGATGTTAGTATTAATTTATTTTAACACAAGGACCATATTCAAGGTATGCTCTTGACAACAGGGGAGCTTTACACATACATCAAACATCAGTATCACATTATACATGCAGAACACTGGGATGCATTTTGTGTTACGTCGGAAACCCCAACAAACATCATTCATGATGTATCTGCCGGAATGATTGCATGTTGTATATAGGCCTAGCAGGTTCTAGAATGTTTTGTTTGCGATTTGGGGCTATTCGTATCCTCAATGAATTCTCCGCGATATGACAATGCGCTGCGTGCCAAACCGCCTGACCCTACCATATAATCAGCTCGCATAATTCAGCAGTGGCCATTAGGGGAGAACTAGGATATTATATGACTGCTGCTGTGGCTTTTAAATTGGAGTCCTGGTGTCAGATATTTATTCTTTTATCTGTCATTCTTTCAGGTGTTTATTTCTTTGGATATTTATGTAATGAGATTTTAGTTTATCACTGTAACGAGTATTAAGTTGATTTTCTACAGGATTGCTACGTTGTACAGTCTGACATACGTTTACTAATGTTTAAGAGGAGCGTGCTGCCTCCATCATCAGGTCGAATACTTCCGAAACGTCTGTAAACTTCTCCAAGACTACACGGTGCAACAACTCACAAGTCAACTATCTGGATTTTTATTCTTTTGTCAGTAACCCTTTCCAGTATTTATTTAAACGTCTGTCGCTCTGATCTTTGTCGTGATGTGTCATAATCAATATTACGATTGGTCTTATAGCAATGTGGTGCGAGGCTGTGGACTGAATTGAGTTGGCTCATGATAGAGTCCATTGGCGTGTTAGAATTTCACCTTTCATGTTGGGTGCTATAGCCGAGAAAATTCTGTGACAGTGCCTTAAAACAGGCTACTAAACTTTTTTTCTACGCTCTACTA